AAGCTGATGCAGCATATTTACTTCACCAGCCTTCAGGGGCCCAGTTCTCTCTGCGCGTAGGACATGGCGAAGCACGTGCACATCTTCAGCTGACAGGATGTCGCGAGAATGACAGTACAGCACGTCTTGTAGTTTCTCGACCTCACTCGAAAATTCCTCAACACGCAAATACTCAGACTGGAAGAAGTCATGCTTGGATTGTTGTGGCATATGGCACTCTCTTTCTGCGAGGCGCTGCTTCCCGGGAGAAAGACAGGCTGTAGAGCATTGTTGAAATTTCGAATTCGTGAGGCAGCACCAGGTCCATGAACAAAGGATATGCCCTTCACCTGTTTCCTTCCCCGTCTGACCATTCAGTTTGCGGCCAGAGAGCCTGACGGGTGCTCCGTTTGAAGTGCCGCCTGCTGGTGCACAGTCACACCGCCGATGAAGCAGCCGCACCTCCGGAGAGCAGCACAGAAGATGACTACCATCCTCCCTCGGAGTCTGTGAACAGCAATGAAATTCCCTAAGAGCTATCCGTCTTCGGGCTGGCAATACCGATGCTTCGTTGCTGCCAGGCCCTCTACCGAGAAGCGGCGCGTCTGACGATGCAGCCTGCGGCTCCATGGGCCCTCACGAAGCAGGGGGCACTTCCCAACGAAAGCTCCAACTTCCTGATTACTTTACTTTTGGAGCATGTCTGAAATCTCTATTGTTGAAATAGTGTTCAGCAGGGTCGCATGCTTAGCATGAGCTACCTCGCCGATCGCTCGACGCTGCGGTGGCGTGGATGAATGTCTGAGGAGAACGTAGAAGTTCTCGTTGTTACATCCAGAGGCATTTATTAACTCATATAAAAGAAAAGAAGATATGCTGTAGCAGAAGCCGACGACGGAGCATAGCGATCGCACACGTTGAGGCCCCACGCCTGAACCACTGGTCTGCTGTGGCATGCAGCTGTTCCCACGTCCGCCAATCGTTTGCTCTCGCAACGAACTTAAACTTCAACAGAGCACTGTTAAAAAGTGCTTGATGAACATTTAGAAGAGATGTTTTTGCTGGGTTCGTCACTCTACGCGAGAAACGCCCGACGGTCCAATTTAGTGAGCATGCCGTCGGAACCTACTGTCGGTGTTCTTTAACAGTTGATTTGAAGGGTTGATTTGCTGTCTCACTATATGGCTTCGCACTCCACCCTTTCGTTCTCACTGGCATACAAGTCCCTTGCTTGTATCTGGGCTAGACTGCTCGCGCGTCGCAGCTGCGTGGCCCGCTGCATGCAAACCAGCTCTGAAAGCAGTGAAGGGGTTTCTGTGGATAATGAGAGCTGTGGGGGTTAACTCATCTTCTCACCAGCAGAAATACACAATGAGCAAAGCTAGGTAAAGAAGCACTTCAAGTGCTCAGGCCGTTACGAGTGTTTCATAAATAGTAAAATTGGACGGCGTAGCACTCTCTGCGCCCTGCTGGTCTGCTTTTTATTTTGCTCCTGTCACGGATGCATTCAGTAGCAATGTGCTCCTACGACAACTATCTGGTACTCCTTAGTATCAAGTTCGAAATTTTATCGCCTGCGGTTGGGGGTATATCTGCATGAGTTGCACAGGGTCAGTAGCAAATGGTGGCGTTTCGCAAGGTGTTTTATCTTGCTAGAGTCCGCGGAAGGCAGACTGCCTCACTGGTGTGTTTGTTATGATGGTCCTAAACATCAAGGAACAGCATTCGCATGGGCGTGGCCTAAGAAGCATATGACGAAAAGAAAGCGCTCCATCACACACACTCTAGCTAACGATTTCACCCTCTCCGTACCCAAATACTATGAAAGACACCCCAGGCAAGCCAGGGGTTCACGTCCAACGAATTTCGAATTTCGTTGTAACGGTGGTTTCAAGTGCTGAACACCATCCTGTTCAGTATTTGCATAGCTAAGGATACACTAAAAAGAAAACAGCCTCACCGCAACAACNCACACACGCACACACGCACACACATACACACACATACAAACCCACACGCAAACAGTCACCTATGCATGATGTGTTTTCATAGACAGATACATACACAAATGCTGGCGAACGCAAAGGATATGCAAGCATAAGGCAAAGAAAAACGCACAGCCGTTCACACAAACCCTGGACCTAGCCACAGGCTGATGCAAAGGTGCACGGCGTTCGCGAACAATCCAGGAGGTTAGGTATACTCTTACGGAATGTTTAGTATGCTCTGCGTACTGCACGGAGACTGTATGTCAGCAGTTTGACAGCGCCGCGGAGCCAGGCGAGTTGAGCAGCAGTGGGCAGTGCTAAGGACCACAGCGAGGTGGCATCAACTGGAGCATATGATTCGTACACTGGAGGAGATAATACGAATCCTGCTGTTAACTTGTGTGTTCCCGAACATCCACGATTCTACCGACACAAATCACTCCGCAACTCGGAGCTGCTTCGCCGTTTCCACTGGAATGTTTTGTCTTCTTAATTACCAACTCAAGTTATTTCTTAAATTCAAATCAGAACAATGCATAGTAGAGGAAATGAATGAGCGTGTCCAAGTTTGGCAGGAGTCCTTCCTGAACTGCTCCGGATCGGTCTCTACACCAATCGATGCGGCGCCGTAATGCATGACGACAGACCGCCACAGGCGGCGGGACTGATGCGCCTGTAGGCTGTTCTTACAAATAAGAAGCAGACACTGCAGTCTGTTCGTAGCATTTTTGTCCTCGGTTTCGTAGCCCGAGACACTATTCTATCCGACAGAAGCCACACTTCTGCTGAGTATAAAGGCAGTCACTTGGTAACGGCGGAAGGGCGTCGCCCAGGTGGGCCATGAGCCGTTGTTTCGAGAGAAATCGATGTCGATTTTTCGTAGAGTGCTCTAAAGTGGTGGTTAGAAAGGGATGCATCTCTTATTTCCCTAGGCGCAGGTTTGGTGCCACCGTTACTTCCACCGATGCTGCTCCGTTGACAGGGGGAACTGTAATGCACAGTGGCCGTATACTGTGCCTACGATACCCACTTGAACTCTATGTCAGTAGATCTACA